GAGTAAAAAAAAAAAAAAAAAAAAACCAAAAAATAACCACTAGATCTTACCTCTATGGAGAGATGTGAAGGGTGGCATAAAAAGCTGAAAATGATTCGCACTCAAAATCCTGATCATTACAGGAATGACTGAAAGAAACTTTCAAGTTAACCTCTTTGCTATTTCTTGGAGGAGTACTCGCTTCTGTGAAGCATTAATTACATTATTGGATTCAGCACTCTCCAGAACATCAGTGATAATTGCAGCTGCGTGACCAAGAGGCTCCTCAACTGCCCTTTTCAACATGAAGGCCTATAGAGAAAATTTAAAATCCACGTGAAATTCACACATATCTATCTGGAGACAGGTCAAACACATGTTACACCGTACCAAGGAAAACAGGTAGCTCTTAAAACAAATCTGATCGTGCCAGAGAAATTTCTTATTTCCAATACTATAAGAAATGAGATTACCTCGAAGACAGATGGACAGACCTCTAATCTTTTCTTTGAAAACTAGTTAAGGAGATATTTTTACTGAATTGCAAAAACAATTATGGAGCTTGAAAACAGTTTTCAAAGCAAATCAACGTAGAAGTATTAGATCCGAACAATTGAAAGTAGAAACATGGTGCTAAATTTAGATGAAAAAGTAGATGCTTGAGAACAAGCCTCTGCTCACAATATGAACACCAAGTAGATCCAGGAACTTGAATATTCACCAAAGTCAATCCATAGAAATCAAATGATTAAGTGACGAATTTAACAAATTTCAGATCCTCGGGAAAAGCATCATGATAGATGCTCCTCAGTTTCTATCTGAATTCTTCCTCGTCTTCTAACTTATTCCCTTCTTTTTCAATTTTAAGGCAATAAATATACAAGTTAAATATGTGTTTAGTCCCTAATGCCACACATTTTTTCAATTTAGTCCCCTTCGCTCAAAAATATTCAATTTAGTATTTTATGTTTTAAGATTTTCAATTATACCACATTTCATCGGTGAATGTTAAAATTGACCTATGATAAGCTTATATTGCATCGTGCTTAGTGACTTAGAAAAAAATTTAGAGATTAATAGTGATATACCATGCATGCTTTTTTTTTTTTTTTTTTTTTTTTTTTTTTTTTTTTTTTTTTTTTTTTTGTGGTGATCCCTGAGAGAGACTTAAGCATGATATTGCACAAGTAACTAGCTACGTCTTCAATGTAAAGAAATGAAAGGAGAGAACAAGAGCAATTACCTCTCCATGGTGGGATATGACCAGTGTACACGGGATGTCCTGAAACCAAGGTTCTCCGTCAATTTGAACAGGCAATGCAGCACATAATTGTATCCTAATGGACCGCCCCTGAGCAAGTCTTCTAGCTCGAGAAAGCCCCACCTGTTTCAAAAAGAAAGCAGCAGCCGTCAAACATCTAGCAAGGAGGTTACAACACAACTCAATGTATGAACCTTGTCCCTTACCCAAGATTCCACCCATTTTAAGTCTTAGGACTCCTAGTATACGCTACAACTCAGAATCATCATTCTAATGACTAAATTTGAGATATTAGGATTGCAACACTAAGAAGCCTTTCATGATTTGACCATCCATTTTCCTGGGTAATAATTTCTTTAGTTCTAATAAACCTATAGACAGTTTTGAGAATTGCACATAGGCCCCAGTTTAGTGAGTACGTGCTCCACAAGGAGACTCCAACTAAAGAGCACTACCGCGTGCCTTAGTGCAAGTGTGCATGCCTTCTTGCGCTTGAACCCCCCCACCCTAATCAAAGATAGGTAGATACTCACTTTCAGCTTCGTTCTTAAACTGAAAAATGCACACTACTTTATATAAACCCCACCCTAATCAAGACCCCACGGAAGTCTTAAAGCTAACCATTTTTATGAGAACCGAACAACAAAAAAACATAAGAAGGCATCATTGCACATGAAGGCTAGAAATAGAGTCGTCCCAGAGAGATCGAACAAATTTGATTTGATTTGATATTCTAGAAAATGACGTGATAGCAGCATGTGAGGACAGGAACATTTATTGAATTATTGTATACCTGTAGCTTCCCAAGGTGCCAGGTTCCAGATATGCTGACAACCTCGAGTATTTTATCATGCATGGACTGTGAATCAAAACTATCAAAAGTCTCGTCCTCATTATGCCAAAGATCCACACCACCCATGTAGCTTCCGATGTTCGCAACCAGCACACCTTCTGCATCCTGTGAATATTCAAATTAAAGTTCCAATTAAATCAACCTCAAGTAAATGAAAATTCAGAACAAGATCGTCACAAATAATAACACTAATAGTATGTATGGTTCCTTGTAAAGGAAAAACCTCCAAGAATTCACATCCATAAATGTATCATTATGGTAATCAACATTAGCCTAAAACTTGTAAATGATAAAATAAAAAATACAGTGACAATTTAGTAATGTTTCAGAACCAAAAAACTTCAAAGTTAAGTTCTTACCTCAGGAACCTCTACCTCAACACCATCCACTTCCACCCGAACCTGCCATGGAATATCTGCATATGTTCTATCCATTATGCTCTTAGCTCCTTCTCTTGCATAAAGCACTTTATTCATAAACTGCAGTTATGTAAATAGTTTCAGCTAAGTGATATGAACTACTCAAATGGTCTAAGATCAGAGACACCAAATAAGCAATAACTAGCAAGAACTTCTGCAAATATTGACATATGCTTCTATAATAATATGCAACCTATACGTTAATTTTTTAAAAAAATGAGAAATCAAATTTTCATTGAGAAGAAGTGAAAGAAACTTGTGCATTGAATAAAATGACCATTTCTATTAGAGAGATAATTATTGATGATTTTGCTAGACGCTGGTGTACGTGCAATCAGGAAGCAAAATGTCTGAACCATATCAATATGCATTCAACATACTACTAGACGCAAGTATTGTATTAAAAAATTTACTGTACAGCAGTAAATTCTCTCAGGCTCCATAAGATGACCACCCTCAATTATCTTTGTTATTTTGGCAACAAAGAATTTACAAAATAGCCATCCAACATAAAAATAAATGCTCATAAATTGATCCACATTTTGGGAACAAAAGAAGTAAGGCACGAGTATGATCCAAAATTTAATGATGCAAGATGTGAGGCTATAATATGCTACACCACTCTCAAGTAATAAACATTCAGTTTGAGAAGTCGTAATACCAGTCATGTGTGGTTGCAGTTATGGTCAGCGTGACATTATGTGATGGATTACATTAAAAAAAGTTATCATTTAGGTCTACAACTTTATCACCTGGTTATAAAATTTTTCTGGATTTTCCTCCCGTAAATTATGTATGTCAAGGGCAACCTTAGCATCACATCCAATTCCTGCATTTTGGAGGAAAAATTGGTAATAATGCAGTAAAATATAAACAAAACTAAAGAAATTAGAGAAAAAGACAGGCGCAACCAGGGTTCAATAGAAGAACCCAGAAGTAGAGATATATGGTTCAGAGGTGCCCTGAAGTTTTGGTCGTATTAATATCCAATATCTTAAATACAAAAAACAAATTATCAATAAAACTTACCGAGATAATTATTCATAAACTGTGGAGATTTGAGTTGTTTTCCCTGTTGATCCACTATTGCCACCTTCCAACGGTCAAGAACAGTCACTGCAGCATTTTCTACATGACGCAAGACTGTACAAAGACCACCCTGTCTCTCCACTGAGCCCAAACCACCACCCCAGTTTAATACTCTAGCCAGATCATTTCCTGTTCCAGCAGGAAGAATAGCAACTGGGGGAGGTGAAACAAAATTTTGCTTGTCTATACAGTTTAAGACCCAACCAACAGTTCCATCGCCCCCACATACAAGAACCTTGAAGTGCGGCACTTTTCTGAATAAGTAAAGACCAGATTCAGGGCCTTGGGCGGAACTCAACTCAAAAACCTGAAATATTAGTAGAGTCCATGGCAACCCCATCAACATCATTAACACTTGCAGTGAACGGATTTCATAGAAAATGAAGTTAACCCTAGAAAAATATTTCTTCCTCATTATAAACATTTCCAACACCAAATTTAAAAATAAATAAATCAGTTACTTTAGAGGGTTTCATTGACCTCAATTTTGTATATTCGATAGACCCAGACATATATGTTCCAAGTTTCTACCAAATTCCATTAAGAAAGGGAAGTTGTGCATAAGCTATACACAAAACATTGCTGTCTGCCTCATTTATCACCAGGTATCAAACAAGGAGTATAGAACAGGTTGAACAAATTATTTTAGGCTATAGTATACAACAGTCTACTCCTAACGTTAAAGCCTGTTCAGAATAGAGTGGAGAAAAGACAGTACCTGGACAGGATTCAAAAGCATGTTTAACCGTTGTTTTAGAGAATCTCCACGGCGAGCTCCACTTTTCTTGTTGATAAATACTAACAAGGGACGTGAATCTGGAGGCAATTCGATCACCTCATACCTCAGGTTCATTCCTACATGAGTTTCATCCTTCTGATTGAATGAAGAACTTTTTTTGAAGCTTGGATTTGAAATATTTTTATCTATATCACCATTTTGATGCTGAAGCTCTGACGTTCGACTACCATTAATGTTTCTTTCTGTTCCATTATAACCATTAACTGTGTGATGAGAATCAGCTGTGCTTTCTGTAGACATATCACGAATACTACCACTTTTACTTGCATGAATAGACGGTTTACGACTATGTTTATTCTTCTTACTCTGACTCCTTATACTTGCACGCACTGTGGATGCAATCTCATTTGCTCCATGGGTGATGGAGCTCAAAAATCCACCGGAGGACGTCCTATTTGACTCCTTGATGTAAAGTGGTGACAGAATCAACCTTCTAAATGAACCTAAGTCACAGACATCACCTGTTTCATTACACATACTACTATGGCAATCAACATGCACTACACGTTGGCACCATAAACAACACCATATTGGAGAACCACCAAGAAAAGACCCACTACATGGTTCTTCACAGTAACTGCAGAAAGAGGTTTCATCAGGTTGATCTGTAATCTCAGTCCACCGAACAGCCCATTGGTGCATCACATTCTCAAAGCCGATCATGGATACACACTTGCAATCCTTTTGAGCATTAGAAGAACAGCTCAAGTGAGCTGCCACACCACAGATGTTGCAACGGTGGATAAAACTATCTGAAGCGACCATAGGACCGAGTGTCTGTGAAGGGGACACAAACTTTAAGCACACACAACAACTCAAATTCTTTCCACGAGATACAGATTCTAAAATCCAGTCATGCGCGGCTACAGGAACTTTATTAGTTTTTTTTGGGTTTCTCTTCGATCTGGCTATAGCTTTCATCCAACTCAAATTGATATTTCTCCGCCATTGGAAGGCTGTAAAGGCTATGGTCAAAATTCCAATGATGGCAGCACTCAAGCAAGAAATAACAAAAAGGCGATCAGTTGGATTCTTGCTGTTCCAACTGGGGAATAACAATCCAATTTCCCACTCCTCATCCATCTTTTGGTCACGGATGTGAGAAGACAACCATCTAATGCTGAAACAAGAAATTTGGCTCAAGACAGTTGACGGCCAGTTACCGCCCAAAATCCAACGTAATCCAAATCAATGATGAACCAAATTTTAATAATAGAGTCCAACTTAATGATGACATTACCAATTTATAGATGGCAACTCACCAGAAAATCTTTCACATCTCAATGTCACGGATGCAATCCCCCAACACACTTGCAAGGGGTCAAATAAAATACTGGCAGACAATCCGCATAATTCCTGAAAATGTGAAACACAAACATGAAAAATGAAACTTACAAGTTTGAACGCTATCATTAAGAACAAAATGAAAACCAAACAACTTCAAAGCTATCCTCTGACATTCAAAATTCCAATGTACTCCTAAGTATATAATGAATAACAGGGTCATATTAAATTCTAGAAGATAGATTTAGCAAAATTATAACACGATTAATTCAAGAAAAGAATATACAAATGATAAGCAGAAGACCTCAATAGCGATCGTAACATCTGAACAGAGTGAAACTTTTTAATTCAGAAATTACTAGACCAGCAATCCCAATTAGACGGTAAGCAGCTAAGAATCATAGCCAAAAGAAACCAGCAGCACAAAATATTCAAGTTCATACCTCAAGAAACATGTTCTAAACTTCCTCTCAATACCAAAAAAAAAAAAAAAACACAGCAAAATCATTTAAAAACTAAACGCATAACCATTTTAAAAATTGGGCACACAGGAACCTGATGGATGAATTAAACTTACTGAGAGCAATGAGTGAACAACAGGATCAAATGCCCCGATCACAGAAAACCCTAACTGGATCTTCGAATAGTATAATCGCGCTATTCCTTTCAATTGAAAGAATCGTAGCAAGACCCAAAACCGATGTCGGGAGAAAGGTACGGATTTGGGAGTTTTCAGATGGAAGTCGCGTTCTCTCTCCTTCTTCCTCTTCTCTCTATCTTTTTTTTCCGTTAATTTTCCAAATCAAATAAAATTTAGAATCTTTCTTTATTTTGTTTCCAGATTTATAAACAATAAAGATTCCATGAAAGAATCTTCCATTCGGCAAAGGGCAACTGGGTCCCACAGATACTTTAGAGACGTGGCATGCTTACATTCGTGATTTTGACACGTGGGACTCACTTCTCTCGTGTGAATTCCGCGGTGACTCAGCGTTCTCGGATTAAATCCTCACTACGCCGTTTCAAAAAAGGTCGATCCTTTTCATACGCCTTTTTATCTCATTTAATATAAATCAATATTCTCAAATCATTATTAAATTTTAAAAAAAGCGTTAATTATATATTTAAATGATTCGACAATGCATAAGCCAGCATGCCTATTACTGTCGATGGTCAGAGATTGAATTCTCATTAGACTAAAAAATAATCATTTTTATATATTTTTCAGAAGCATTATAAATATAAATTTAAATGATGTCAACTAGTTAAACTAAAGCAAACCATTGAAATAAAAGACACATTTAAGTAATTTTCACCCATTTTTGTTGGCATTAAAATGAAATTAAAAATATGTGGTATTAAAGCTAATTCAACTAATTAAAATAAAAAATTAAATCTTGAAAAAGAAAAGGAAATAAATAATTTCACTTTCATTCTTTATTAAATATTTATACCCATTTTTGTCGGCATTAATTATTTTGGTTTTCTTTTTCTTTTTGTTGGCATTAATTAAAGATAAGATTTAGATTTGACTTTCATGACTTTCCTTTTCACAATATCTCAGTTTGCACTGAAAAACAATAATTTTTTTTTTCTTTTATGAATTCATTCCGATACCTATGAACCTGGATTAGTCAATTCAAACTCTAAGAAAATCAAAAGAATAAAATATAATTTACATTAAAAATAGAAAATTGTTACATGTCATCCCTTTCTCTTAAGATCTCAACCATCATCCACAAGAATTCGGGTGATTTGGCCCATAAAAAAGATGATAATAATCTCAACATAATTAAAATTCTCTCTTCCAACCAGAGATTTGAATCTCCATCTCAAAAGAAGAGTCGATTACTACTTCCATTATAATGGCTCCTCTTGCTTTCATACTAAGAAATATGATTTAATAGATCCAGAGATAATTTACCTTACCTAGAGATACACATTAATCTCAAACAGTAGATTCAGGCGCTGAAATATTAGGATACAGCCACAAAACCCCAAAGCTGACTAAATGGGTTCTTATCAAGTCAACCTAAATCTTTTTTGCACCTTCAAAAATTGGCCATCATGTTCATTCATCCAAGATAATTACAAAGCGAATCTAAAAAGTAGAATATGTTGATTAGAAACAAAGAGTAATTGATGCTTTTAAGCTAACTGTTATTGTGTAACTCAATCTCTTCTCCAGCAAGCAGACAAACAAACAAACAAATCAAATCAAATAATCCTTTTAAAAAAAAAGACCCTTTTTGGCCAAAGAATTAGAATTATGAAATCTCATTTAGCTATAAATTTTGATTTCAGTTATCAAAGGGGTTCCTGAAAGATATGATTAGTTAAGGATAAAGTCAAATGCTAATTTGGTATTCTCAATTTACCAAATAAATGAGATTATTGGACGAATGACAATTAAATAACAGCTGCAGTTACTACTTATTCCAAAGAATCTTATATATCCAAGAGGAATTAACCGACCTTCTAGGAACTCAAATATCATTTTCCTAACTATCTATATATTCAATGAAAATTCTTGAAATCAAAGACAAACAGAGATAAGCCCTTTGAATCAACATGAAGCACAGAAGGAAGCGGTACCTTTGAAACCTCCAGTGGAAAACCACAATGCCCCTGAGTAGACTGGGGGATCATGACAACACAACAAATATGATGATTCGGGCAGAATTAAAATAAACACTTAAATAAAATTTTTATTACTTCAGCTAAAATACTGATAGAGGATTTACAATTTTTACATGTAACGGCCAAATAATCTGTAAATTGAAATATCAGCACACTAACTTCCAGCCCAACTTTGTGCCTCCACATCTAACACTCATTTTCTTTTTTCTTTCTTTTCCTAAATAAGAAAGGCTAAAGCTTAAATCATGAATAAAAACCCATACTACAAGTACAATTTATACCCGGGTTTAGGGATGCATGGAGACTTCTGGAAAACAACTGCACTTCTTCTGCCCTCCCATTTGCAGGAAAAAAAAAAAAAAGTAGAAGACAGAGCATTGCAATTGCTCTTGTACATTAAGAGTGAAGGGACCTATTTATATTACTCAAAATGGCATTGATGACCTAACTTTCACATATCTAACAGCCTCAATTGATTTCAAGGAGATAACTTAGAAATCATTTCTCTCTGATATTCCCATTTTTATGGTTCTATTTGTGAAGCATATCGACTTAAGTTGAAATAAAATGGACCAGAGACGCATTGGGGATGTAGAGATAATTGGCCGACGTTAACAAAATCAATCAATTAATAATTAAAGTGAGAGACATTGTACCCTGTCAGGAAGATTTCTAGGAATGGGAAGTGCAGTAACATATCTCTGGGGGCAAGATTTCTGAGTACTTGTGGTCACATCAGAGGATGATGAGGCCTCACCCCCATCAACTTGTCCTCGACTATGAAACTTGGCAAACCGATTGATAACAGAGAACTTTTCAAGATCCTGGCATTCCACTCTCAAATCTAGGATTGAAGCTCTCTTCTCCACTCTGGAATAGCAAAAGCAGCTAATTACTAACTTTAACCAAAACTCACCAAATAGACAACCAAATTAGTCACTAAACGAAGTAATAGCAGCACAGCAAACACCAAAAGATGAAAGAAAGTACGATTGAAAAGCTAAAACAATACAAGATTACCACCATAAAATCAAATCCTCTGAAGAGGAAAAAATATCAAATCCAATGAAAGAAGCTACCTCAATAAATCATCTTCCATCTTCTGTGCTCGTTTCATGAACGCCTCCACAACTTCTATAATTTGATGATCACCAGTTTTACCAGTAACTTTAAGTCCCTCAGAAAGGCTAAAAGGCATATACGAAAATCCATTGTATTAGTATAAATAAATAATGGAAACAATGTACAACCTATCGTCCTTGCATGGACATTCAAAATTTCAAGATTATAGAGGAAAATTCTTACGGATTTCTGCTTTCTGGATGCAAGGCAATATCAGCTCCTGTGGAAGAAACTATATTACAAGCATCCCCCAAAGCTAGCCTTGCAACAAGGTAAGCCGCACTCTCATAATGTAAGCTGGCATCTGAAGAGAGAGTTGTAAAAGGAGGAGGACGGAGGAGTTGTTGAACAAGCAGCGTAGTCAAGTTAAGCCTCCTCTTCAGTTTTATCATTAGTCCATCATCCATCATTTCAACTTCATCTTCTTTCTGTCGAAGGGTTTAAAGCAATAAGAGCCATTTTTAATAGAATAAGAACTCTGGAATAACAAACATCTTCTACTCAAGAACTAAGTTAACAATTAGCATACCTTCTCAATCAGCCGGTTGGTTGCCTGAGCCCAATCAACATCCGCCATGCTGCAGACAGAAATCAACAGTCGGCATACATAAGAACAAGAATTTAAAAAATGATAAATAGATAAGTTGAGCAATATTCTATATCCATGAAGTCGACCTTCCACAAGTTAAATTTTCGTACAGGATGGAGAATGTATATAACGAGAACCAATTTTATAAAACAAAAATGGATCGCTGTTTTGAAAATACAGGACATAGATAGATGTAAATCAGCAAAAGAAACAAAAGGTGAAACAAACACGCCAGAAAACATCATTTCAAATTCTCAAAGCATTCCAACCCTAAACTCTTATCAATCAAAGACACTAATAAAATCTTGAGCAAAGGTGCAAGGAACCCTTTTTTAGTCAGTTCGCAGTACATTTCTGGTCCAACCTTTTCTATATGTTTCTTTCCTTTAATTGTATTATTCTGAGGGAAGGAGAACAACCTTATATCCTGCAGTCTTCTACAACTTTGAGTCATTTCTTCGTTCCATGGAAACAATTCAGGTGCAGAGCTTTTGCGCTTTTTGAGTCTTACAGCAGCCAAACTTTGATTGATGAAATCAAGTGGCAATGGTTGACCTAAAGAGAAATTTCTGTGTTCTATCGACACGAGAGTTGAACTTTCCCGTTCACTATTGTGCTCACTATCATCAGCAGAAGCATTTGCTTGCTTCACAGGATTTTGAGCATTGAAGCCATCAGGAGGCTTTTCAACAATCAAAGATTGATCCAATGGCTTCATGGCTGCATTGTTGGATCCAGGAAATACTGATAAAGTTTGTCTATTTTTAAAAGTTCCATATTGATCAAACCAAGATGGAGCCATCTGAGGACTGATTTGAGAATGCTCGCTCCTCACACAAGATGCAATGTCAATAGTAGATGATACAGAGGCATCCCCCTTCTTTGATGAAAAATCTACCGCTGCTGCATCTACACATGAAATGGAAGCATGGTTAAGTAATGACTCTCTGACAGCATTACTGTGTTCATGTGATAAAAGTTGACCCCCATCCATGGCAACATGCTGAGAATCTAAACCACAATCTGGACCTTTAAATCTCTTCCCATTCCTGTTAGTTGGGTCATTATCAGCACTTTTCATGGCCTGCGTTTGATGCATTAAGGGGTAATTCTGCTGCGAACTAATATTTGGATGCAGAGAATAACCTGAAGTGTCAATATTAACTCGAGTAGCCATAGAATTTGATGGAGATACACTTAATGAGTGATGCCCAGCAGATTCCAGTCCACCTGATGCACTTGTAGCCTGCGGGGAAATTTCACTCTTCCCACCTGAAACTTGTTTCCCAGGGCTTTCTTGCATTTGCTTTTCTCTTCCAATAATATTTTGCAAATTGATGGAATTTTCACCAGGGGCCGAAGCCTCACGTTCCAATTTCTCTTGAGTATCCATGTTTTTTAGTCCTGAAAAACTCTTGTCTAAATTGTCCATATGCATATGAGATTT